TCAAAAAAGACAAAAAAAAAAAAAAAACCTGAACTGCATAGTGAGACCCTGTCTCAAAAAAGAAATAGAAGAAAAAGAAATGTGCGCCAAAAATACTTAAAGAAGAACGAAGGCCAGGTGTGGTGGCGCACCTGTAATCCCAGCACTTGGGAGGCTGGGGCAGAGGGATCGTTGGCAAGTCTGAGACCAGCCTGGGCTACAGAGTGAGCTCAAGGCCAGCCTGAACTGCATAGTGAAACCCTGTCTCAAAAAGACAAAAATAAAATTAAAGAAAGAAAGAAAGAAAGAAAGAACAACAAAATAAACACCTATGAACTTAGGATGACCTAGCTTCAGTAATAGAGCTTCAGCGTCCATCTGTAGATGGAGTTTTAGACTAGAGACTAGGTTTATGTCAAAGAGCAACCTTTTTAACTCCAGGAATTAAAGGACAAGAGTAGACCTAGTGTTAGCATTTGTTTTCACTTCCCAGATCCCTCTCCAGAGCTTGGTATTTGTCAGCAGGACCACCTCTAACCCCTTACACACATGCATGCTGTCGTTGCTAACACTTACTACCAGTCACAAAGCTTATCCAGCAGGTGAGGCCTGGCCTGCATAATGCGGGGCTGTTTCCTGCAGTGGACAGGAAACGGCCCCACCCAAGCCTCTGAAGACCCTGGCTGGGAGGTGGAAGAACCTTGGGATTTCCAGTATCTCATCAGAGTGCTTTCCTCCTGCCTGGTTCAGTGATGTCATCCATTGAACTCTCCTGCTCTTTGTGAGACCCTGAGAGGGGAGGGGCAGAAGCTCTGGTCTTTGTGATTAAGCCTGAAGGCAGCGTGGCTAGGCGCTGACCTGGAAAAATTCAAAGAGAGAAGGAATCTCAGCACCAGCAGGTGTTGCACTAAGAAGATGGGCATATAGGAGAGTTGGAGGGTTTGGGGCAGGTGTGGGGAGTGGTAGTCCAGGTTGATAGGGCACATTTAAGAGGTAATGACTAAAGCCCCCTTTTTCTATATTGCTCCCAAGAGAGGGAGGCACAAAAAGTGTGGACAAAGCCAGGGATAGTGGCACATACCTATAATCCCAGCACATGGAAGGCTGAGGCAGGAGGACTGCCATGAGTTCAAGACCAACCTGTGCTACATAGTGAGTTTAAGACCAGTCGCAAGTACATAACGAGACTGTCTCAGATAACAAAAACAAACAAAACAAGAAGATGGATTGGCTCAGAAAGAGTTTAAGAACTTAACACCTTCAGCTAGAATCAGAAGGTTGGACTTGGGGGCCATTAAACAGAAAAGCACAGGGGGTAAGAGCAGGCTCTGGATTATAATTCTGGGTTCAAATTCCAGCTTTGCTCAAAGGCCATCTGACTTCAGAAAAGTTTCTGATGGTCTCTAAGCCTCTGCTTCCTTCTCTATAAGTTGGAGGTAACTGTTTTCATGTAGGGTCTCAGGGAAGAAATGTGAGTAGAGCCCTACTTTGGAGAAATTGTAAGATGGAACATTCACTGAACATTTTCTGTGTCAGGATCTGTGCATATATCTCAGTCCTCACAAAAACCTCAAGAGATCTGTGCTGATGTCCCCATTTTTGTACTGGTAAGAAACAGATCACCCACCCAGTAAATGTGTATGTAGATCTGTAGAAGAGTGGAAGAGTAGGTAGTGGTTCTGACGCTGTGTGGGGTTTCTGGATGCGTGGTACCAGGGTCCACTTGAGCTGGTCCAGCGTTTTAGGTAAGACCAGCCAGCCCTGTAGCACTTTGGCCTCACCACGTTAAGTTGCTCGGGTGCAGGCTCAGAGAGATGGGAGATGGATTTAACTAGAGTTCCAGGTTAGCCAGGTAGTATCATTGGGAGAAAAGGAGAAAATTCAAGTAAAGGCCAGAAATGAGAACGGTGGCTCATAGAATCTTAGCTGGGCAAAGGAATGAGGAATAGTCAGACAGAAGGTTAAAAATTTAAGCTCCATTCAGAACTGTGTATGTGAGCTGCAGAGAGGCTGGTCAGCCGTGGGTGAAGCCTAGATGAAGTTGAGATGCTGAGGGACGTGCGGAGAAAGCTCTTAGCCACTCTGCTCTGCCGCCTCCAGTGCACTCGCACGTGGGAAAGGAGGGACTAGGGTTGCGAAGCAGAAAACCCCCAAACAACTCTGGGCAGTTAGATGGGGGAAGCCGGGGCTGGCGTTAGCCTGGGACAGTGAGAACACAGTAGAAAGTAGATCTCAAGAGGAAGAATGACTCCTCTACGCCCGCATCCTAGGATGACGTGAACTTAGTCTGTAGGTGCAGCAGTCCCTTGGTGTGACGTAGCCAGAGGTGGTCCCTGTCATTACAGAGCTGCTCCTGCCTGAGTTTTGTCCCAGAACTTGTCTGATCTAAGAGACTGCACTTCCCTTCTTAGCTTCTCAGCGAGGGCAGTGGAGGAGAACGTGGTGCAGGCCTGTGGCTGGTGGCCCCGGTGGAAGGCCCCACTTCACCATTGACTGTGGGATCTGAGAACTATTTTTGTCTCCATTTCTTAACTAGGGGAGCAGAGAGCAAATTAAACAGAGTAAAATGAGCTGTGAATGACAGTGCTTTGAGGTTAGTAATCAACTGAAAACAAGACAGAAAGCAGACTCCGTCATGGAATTTGAAGTTGTGTAATCAGGTCTGTCACATGCACAGGGTAATAGCGGCCTTGTGTGCTCTTCCTGTAACAAATGAGGGTGGTGGGAGGAGGCTGCTGTCAGGGAGCATCCAGATTTCCCATCTCCCTGTGCCATTGAAGCCTTTTTGTCCTCATTTCTGAAACGGGCTGTTGATACCCACTCCAGAGGGCAGATGTGAAATGTTCCAGGAATGCTAACATGTATTCTTTTTGCGTGGAAAGGCCTGCCCTGGTATTCAAACCTGAAGGAGTTTCAAGTCCTGGAAGTTAGGCAGTGATGGCAGACCTATGGCACACATGCCGCAGCATGCTGTTTGTTGTCATTGAAAGCTCTAAAAGGGGAGCTGAAGATATAGCTCAGCAGCACAGCACCTGCCTCGCAAGTGTGAGGTTTGAGTTCGATTCCCAGTACCAAAAAAAAGAAAGCTCAGGGCTGGGGATTTAGCTCAGCAGCACAGCACCTGCCTGGAAGGTGCGGGTCATGAGTTCGATCCCCGGTACCAGGAAAAAAAAAAAAAGCTCTAAAAGGTTCACCATCACTGGGTTGGGGGAAACTCATGGATACAGCTGGAATTTGTAACTGAGGAATCAGCCACATGTCCAGCTTCTGACCCACAGGAAGCTGCACCAGCAGCCAGATGAGTGCCGCCCGAGAACAGGAAGACTTCGATGCAGGGTCAGAGATCTTCCTTCTGGCCACAGATCTCGGTGACGTGGTGTGGGACCGTGCACAGAATTACTTAGCTCTGTGGGGTGTGGTGGCGCACACCTGTAGTCCGAGCCCTCAGAAAGCTAAGGCAGAGGGCTGGGGGATAGCTCAGTGGCATAAGTGCCTGCCTGGCAAGCGCAAGGTCATGAGTTCAATCCCCGGTACTGCAAAGAAAAGCCAAGGCAGGAGGATCAACAGAAATTTGAGGCCAGCGTGTGGTACATACTGAAACCAAGACTCAAAAAACAAAAAAATTTTACTTAGCTCTGAGACAAGGTCTTAGAAATATGACTCCGTTTATAACTGTCCACGAGGCATGCACACTCATACGTCTAAGGTCACTGTTTCTCAAACTGCAGGCCCAGGTTGCCACAGAATCACCCATGTACCTGTTTATAAAGCAGAAGCCAGGCCGGGTGTGGTGTTGCATGCCTCTAATGCCAGCACTTGGGAGGCTGAAGCAGGAGGATTGTTGTTCCAGGCCAGCTTGGGCTACAAAATGAGCTTGAAGTAGTAACTGCATAGTGCAGCCCTGTCTGAAAAAGACCAAAATAATAAAAAAAACAGAGCCAAAAGTCACCATGTAGACGCCCTTTAAATCTCAACAGCAGGGGCTGGGGATTTAGCTCAGCGGCAAAAGCGCCTGCCTGGCAAGCGCAAGGTCGTGAGTTCGGTTCCCGGTACCGGAGAAAAAAAAAAAAAAAAAAAAAAAAAAAAACAACAAAATCTCAACAGCAGTATGGGAGAGGTTAGGAATCTGCATTCTAATAAGCATCTCCAGTGATTCTTTGCAAAGAGATTGGTTTTATTCTTACTATATAAATAGCCTGAAACCAAGAATAATTTGTCAAGGATGCTACAGTAGGAAAAGGAATAGATCCAACCCAGGTCTGCCTGTCTCAGAGACTGCTCTTCCCACAGCGCTTGTGGCAGGAAGAGACGGTTCAAGGTGCCTTGTGGGCACTGTGGGCCTGGGCAGCTGTTTGTGTACTTTGCTGCTTTTGAGGGGAGGGGTGGTACTGGATATCAAACCCAGGACTTCGCACTGAGCTGCATCCCCTTATAATTTTTTTATTTTGAGACAGGGTCTCTCTGTGTTGCTCCTGTTGAGCTTGAACTTGCTGTGATCCTCCTACCTCAGCCTCCCAGATTTCCTATATTACAAGCATGCAACTACCACACCAAGCTGCAGTTTGCTTCTTACTGATAACTTTCATGTGTGTTTTTCATATTGCTGATAAGAAGTCATAGCCAAGTAGGAATGCTTAGATCAGTGGTGGTCACACTGTAGCTGGCATCAGAATCACCTAGAGCAGGAGTTGGTCAACTGTTGGTGTGGGGCCAGGTCACACGCACTGTAGACTGCTTGGGCCACGTGGTCTCTGTGGCACCCCTGAGCCCTGCCACTGCTGCTTGAGAACAGTCAAGGCACATGTAAACAAGTGCCCTCAGCTGTGTTCTGAAATCTTAGTCCCGGAAAGGCAGTAGCCTCCATTTAATCCTCAGGTCATAGTTTGCCAGCCGCTGCCTTAGAGTAAGGGTCTGTGGATATTTATTGGGTGCCAAGTGCTCGCTTCGGCAGCACATATACTAAAATTGGGTGCCAAATCCATGTCCTAGATACCAAAAGTGCATAAGAAAAGTCAAAGATCTGGCCCTCCTGAAGCTCACATTCTAGCCCCTCCTTTATTGGACAGTAAGCATAGTAAGCTTGATAATGTTTTAAAAATGATAAAAAATGGTAGAGAAAGAGCAGGGCGGAGGCATGCCAGGTGTGGTGGCACATGCCTGTAATCCCAGCACTCGGGAGGCTGAGGCAGAAGGATCGCTGAGAGCTCAAGACCAGCCTGGGCTATAAAGTGAGCCCAAGGCCTGCCTGAACTGCATAGCGAGACCCTGTCTCAAAAAAACAAAAACAAGCAGATGGGTTGTGATATAAAATAGGCTGGTCAGGTAGGCCGAACATGGAAGATGAGATCTGAAGAGGTGTGAAGGGGTGTGGACAACCAAGGATCAGTTACCAGTGTAGATTTCTATAGCTTCCTGGGGCCATCTGGACCAGAATGCTCCACTCATCTCCCCAGCTCCCCCCGCCGTGGTGCTGAGAGTTGAACAAATGTCTCCTCAAGGCAAGTGCTCTACCACTCAGCTACCTCCCCAGGCCTTTTGGGGTTTATTCTGGTTTTTGGGTTTTTTCCTAAGATAAGCTCTCACTGTATAGTTCAGGCTGCTCACTATGTAGCGCAGGCTGGCCTTGAACTCCCAGTGATCCTCCTGCTTCAACCTCTCAGAGTGCCAGGATTACAGGCATGCAGCACCACACCTGGCTGTTCCTTATTTTAAGGCACTCTGTTACCCATGCTAGCTTTACACTTGTTCTCCTCTTGCGATCCCCCTGCCTCAGTAGCTGGGATGATAGGCTTCTACCACTGCACCCAGCTTCACCACTCTTTGGAAATCTGCTTTTTCTCACTTAGTAGTTGGGGGATTTTTGTTTTGTTTTGTTTTATTTTGGGGGTTTTGCTGTTGTTGTTGTTGTTGGTACTGTTGTTGTTGAGACAGGGTCTTGCTGTGTAATTCAGGCTGGCCTTGAACTCACTGTGTTGCCCGGGCTGGTCTCAAACTCGCAGCGATCCTTTGCCTCAGCCTCCTGAGCACTGGAATTACGGGCATGCACCACTACACCCAGCTCTCACTTAATAGTTGAAGAATATTTTGCCATGGATATAAAATTGTTTAAACAACATCAAGTCAGGCATGGTGACACAGACCTGTAGTCCCAGCACTCTGGGAGGTTGAGGCAGGAGGATCACAAGCTAGAACCCCAGTGGGGCAACTTAGTCTTCTTTTAAAAAGTGTAAGTGGTGTGGATGTAGCCCAGTGTGAAGGCACTGGGTTCAATCTCGAGTGCCACAAAAAAATAAAGGAACATCATGTTCCATCGTGTGACAGCTTTTTCTCATTTTCTGACAGCGGACTTCGAGGTTGTTTCTGAGTTTTCGTCAGTGTAATGGCACAACAGTTAACATTCTTGGACTAAGTTGTTTTTGCTAAGTCCAAGATTTTTCCTTCAATTCCTAAATGTGAGACTGCTGAGCGAAAATGAAAGTAGATTACAGAGACTCACGGTGCATCTTTTCGTCCCTTTTAAAGATTGCTTTCCCCCCAGATAAGCCTCTTTAGTTCCCTCTCTGCCTCTCCTGCGTTTCACGCTCTGCCTTGTGGTTCCAGGCTCAAGCACTGACATCAGTGAGGACTGGGAGAAGGACTTTGACTTGGACATGACCGAAGAAGAAGTGCAGATGGCCCTTTCCAAAGTGGATGCCTCTGGTGAGGTGAGTGGGCCTGGTGGGCCACATGCAAGCCAGCCCCGTGATGCCAGGGTCTGGGACCCTGTCTACCATGCCCAGCTGTGCCCTCGGCACGGATCTGTGCGCCTCACTGAGGTGGCAGCTGTAGGAAGGGTGGCGGGGCCTCCCGCATAGGCCCATGACACTTGTCATCAGCAGGCTGCTTCCCATTGGTTCTGGGGTAGGTGGATGGGAGAGTTCTAGACTTTGAACTCTTTGTCCCAGTCACCTAAGGAACTACTTCGAAATATAGATGCTGGGGCCGGGCATATAGCTCGAGTGGCATAAGCACCTCCCTGGCAAGCACAAGGTCCTGAGTTCAATTCCCGGTACCACCAAAAAAAAAAAAAAAAAAAGAAAAAGAAAAAGAAATACAGATGCTGAGCTGAGGATGTTGTGCCATGGCAGAATCCTTGCCCAGCTTGCACAAGGACCTAGGTTCAGTTTCCAGCATCACTAAAACAAGAGGGAGGCAAATTAGAAAAACACAACGTAGGGTCTGGTTTTTTATATTAGCCAGCTGAAGCCTCAGAGGAGGTAGTGCTCTGCTCCACAGTATTTCATCTGGGTACAACAACTCAGGCATTTAATAGCAAGAGGCTGAGGCAGGAGGATCAAAAGAAAGTTCAAACCCAGCCTGGACAATTTAGCAAAACCTTCTCTCAAAAGCAAAAAGGATTGGGAATGTCACTTAGTGGTAGAGCATTTGCCTAGCATGCACAAAATTGTGGGTTTGGCCTGATGTGGGGGCGTAGACCTATCCCAGCACTCAGGAGGCTGAGGCGGGAGAATTGCCATGAGTTCGAGGCCAGCCTGAACTGCATAGCAAGACCCTGTCTCAAAACAAAACAAAAACAACCTGACACAAGGTATACCTTAACAGAGTTCTTCTGTAACCCATTATACTAGGGAGCAGTTGACAGCAGGCTAACAGTTACAAGGCAGAGGAAAGTTCTGGGGGGACTTGAGCACTGGACCCCTGGTGAAGGGGTTTTGAGCAGCTATAGGCCACTGCCACCCTGCTTTTAGTCACAGTGCCATTCTCCGTCTTTCACAGAATGACATTAATGTCCTCAGCAGGAGACGGGTCCTCAAGGCGCTGCCAGCCTTGCCTCCTTGGGCAGGGCATCCCCTTGCAGAGCCCCTGGTGTTGGCAGTGGAAGTATTGCTGTTAGGTCTGGACAGTCAGAGCAGCGAGCTCAGGCCCCAGGCAGAGGCAGCTCTGCACGGCACACTAGTCCCTGAGACTGAGGGTCCAGTGTCACAGCAGGGCAGGGTATGGCCCCGGGTAGGGCTTGGGGCTCGATCAGAAGCGGACGCAGCTCTGTGGGCAGGGGCGTTGGGTAGGGCTGCACGCAGAGGAGTAAATGCGTGTTCGTGCTCTCCATTCCCCTCCTGTTTGCAGCTGGAAGATGTGGAGTGGGAGGACTGGGAGTGAGGGGAGCCAAAGCGAGAGCGCCGCCACCCACCTCCGAGGCTCATCTCGGCCCAGCCCTGGATGACACTGACTGAGAATGTCCCCCAAATGGCCTCTGCCATCCCAAGCTCTGGGCACAGATTCTCGTGGCTCCCCGCTGGCCCTTTGGGCCTCTGCTCACACCTGGGAAGGGGATCTCTAAATCCAAGCTCAGAACTCTGACTTGTGCCAACCTTAGGATGATCTAAGGGGAGGACACACCCTCACCCTCACCCTCACCCTCACCCTCACCCTCACCCTCACCGAGAGCCTGCATTTCTCTGCTGAACACCCACTGCTCCTGGGGACTCCTGCTGCAAGCCCCAGGGACAGCTGTGGCCCTCCTGCGTGTAAACAGAAGCTTAACCACCAGTTTCTTCAAGGAAGTAGAGGCAGTACACCCTGTCCACTCACAAGCAGGCAAGGATGCCATGCCACCTGCCCGTGGTTAAACAGGGTCAGCAAGCATGACTTGGTTCCTACTCCAGTGTGTAAGAGGCACTCATTCCTGGGGAATTTGCCTCTTGGAAATCTCCCTCTTCCAGCATTTTCCACTCCTGGAAAGGCTCCTTGGGGTTCAGAATGTAGAGACCAAACCGTAACTCACCTCCTTCCTTCTCTCAGCCCACATGGGGACTTCCCCACAGTTTCCAGGGCTGCTTCATGTCAGATGCACCCAAGTCCTTAGCCCAGCTGTGCCACCGCAAGGGTCCACTCTTGCAGTTCTTTCCCTCCCCAAGAGGGGAGGGGGCCACTTGAGGCCCTTCTGTGCATTGCCTGGCAGAATACCTGGTCCAAGCAGCTACCCACCTCGACTCCCCGCTAGCGTAGGGCACGAGGCAGCTCCCAGCGGTACGGAGCAGTGAGCAAAGGCGAGTACTTACAGCCTGGGAAGGCCACCTGCTCTGCCTCTGCCCTCTGCTTCCAAGGGGCCGTGCTGGGGAATCGCCCCGGGCCTTGGCGGGCTCCTGCAAGGCTCCCTTCCTAGGGACAGAGCCAGCCTGTGGCTCTCCCCCTCCACTCTGGTGAAGCTGCACCTCTCTCGGGGCGGTGAGGGCTGCAGAGATTTCCTGGAGACCCTGGTGCTTCGCAGTGCTGCTCTGTGATTCTGTGCATAGCGGCCGTGTCCACAGTGACAGAGGGCTGGGCAGGGGCGCTGAGAGCGGTGGGCACTCGCAGTTCAGACCTTCAGTGAGGGGTGGGATGAGAGAATGCTGAGTCTCTTTTTGATGGATGGGGTTTTTCCTCTTTGTAATTATTTCTTTAGTTTAATTAACCTTTTGGTTGTTTGTGCAATATTATATATTTTAAATTATAATGCATCTCCCCAGAGTATTTTGTAGCCGGGAAAAGAAAACAGGAAAAAAAAAAAAAAAAAGATTCTAACAGCTGTTAGTTTTGTAATTAAAAAGGAGAGAAAAAGAACTTTGTCCTGAACCTTTTGCAGACTTGGCGTTAACATTAAAGAGATTCAACAGAAGCCAGAGGGTGTCTGGGCATCTGTTTCTCTGCCTGGGCAGGACATGCACACTGCAAGGGTGGCTTCCCGCTGGGAGCTGGAGACGCGGGGACCACAGCCTGAGCCCTGAGGAGGGAGTGGGGCCCCGGCAGACCTCACTGGGACAAGGAGTCAGGCCATGTCTGCATTCCCAATGCTTTTGCTTTTATTTGGAAAGGAAGTTGCAGCAGTAGTGGTTCCAATTGCTCTTGGTCATTTCTCTCCTCTCCTCCCCTTGTATGGATGATTCTGGGTCTAATTTAATTAGCTTTAAACACCTGTATGAAAATCACTTGCCACTGGTAATAAAAAGTCTGAATGAGGCCCTTGGTTCCATGAAGATCTTTAGAGGGAGAGTATGAGTCTGGGGATGGCGTAGGTAAGCTTTAGGGTAAGTAAACGTGTAAAATATATATCACCATTTTAGAAGCGGGTTTTGGGTTTGCTTTCTCCCCCTACTTTATTGGGGAGGACTTGCCATTGTGTTTATCATGTGCTCGCTAGCCAGGGGTGCCTACTAACTTCTTCAATCGAAGGCCGGAGGGTCATGTCTGTTTCCAGGAGCCGCTTGAGCAGGTCCTGGCATTCAGATGAGATGTCCAGATGAGGAGGGAAGGACACCCCCTTCTGCTGCTGCCAGAGCATCTTGGGGATGTCCGTGTCGTCAAAAGGTAGGCTGGCACAGAGCATGACATACAGGACCACACCCATGCTCCAGATGTCGCCCTTCTTGCTGTCATGGGGAATACCCTGCAGCACCTCAGGGGCCGCATAGGCTGTGCTCCCGCAAAAGGTCTGGCTCAGCTCCCGGTGTGACTTGGGTAACATCTTGGCAAAGCCAAAGTCGGTCAGCTTCAGGTTGAAGCCCTGCAACAAGGCATTCTCACATTTGAGGTCCCGGTGGGCCACACCACAGCCATGGCAGTAGCGGATGGCCTCAACCATCTGGCGGAAGAGGGCCTTGACCTGGCTCTCAGGCAGTGGCCCCCCATTCAGTACGCAATCAAAGACGTCCCCGCCCTCGGCCAGTTCCATCACCAGGTAGATTTTCCCATCAGTGGACTCCAGCATCTCATACACCTGGATGATGTTTTTGTGGTCAAGGGTCTGCACGATCTGGAGCTCCCGAGGCAGGAATCTCTGGATAAACTCTAAGGAAATAGGAGGAGGACAAAGAAACTAGCAAGATCAGAAGGGCCCAGCCTTGGCCTGGTGCTACATGCATGTCTATGATCCCAGCACTTGAGAGGCTGAGGCAGGACGACTGCTTTGAGTCCTGCTTTGAGTCCTGGACTATATAGGAAGACCCTCTATCCACAATCAGAAGGGCCTAACTCCTCACTCCTGACCTTCTCCCTTCCTGCTTCTGTCTACCCAGCACACCACGGTCTTGTACTTTGGCTACCTCAGTAGTTTCCAGGTGGGTCTATTAACTTGGACATTGCCAAGAGTATTCGCTACTAGTTGTAGCTGGGCATGGTGGTGCATGCCTGTAATCCTAGCACTCTGGAGGCTGAGGCAGGAGGATCATTGCGAGTTCGAGGCCAGCCTGGGCTACAAACTGAGCTGAAGGCCAGCCTGAACTGCATAGTGAGACCCTGCCTCAAAAAGACAAAAACAAAAAACAAAACAAAAAAAAAACCTACTAGTTGTGTACTTAATATATATTCAAAGAGACCAAAAAAAAAAAAAAAAAAAACCCAGTAGTTGTGTACTTAATATATATTCAAAGATCTACTCCCTGCCAACTTGAGGGACTGTGAGCAGTGTGAGACCATGGAGATCAGGGAACTTTAGGCACAGCCACTGGATTTCAGGATACCTGATGGGCCCACAGGATGGAAAGCAGCTCTCTGCACCCTGCCTTCTGATCCCCTTCTTTCCAGGACCCTTGTCTTCCTCTTGCCCATCTCCGACTGCCTTGGTACGGGTCCCAGCCCTCTGCCAGTCTCTGTTCCCTCCTGGAATAGGAAAAGCCCAGGGACCCTGCACCTGGTACACTCATGTTGGGTTTGAGGTGGGACGTTTTTGGACTCGCATCATCCTTCGGTTCCCTACTGACCTGTGACCCTATGACCCATGACCCCCGCTCCAGCCATAGCCTGGCTTGCTTTCCATGGCTGCCGACTCAAGGAGACAGGGAAGGGTTTCCCGACAGGAGCAAGCACCCACCCACCTAACCCAGCCCTCCCTTTCCCCAAAGGGGCCCCAGCTCACCTTCTGGCCCTCTTATCTTGTCTATAATTTTAATTGCCACTTTTCTTTGGTGTTTCTTGGAAAATGCTTCTTTGACTTTTGAGTAGGTCCCTTCCCCAATGGTCTTGCCCAGCTGGTACCCATTGGAGAGCAGGAAGTCCTCCATGCTGTCTTGGCGCCTCCTTCCTTCCTTCCTTCCTGTCACCCTCAGCTCATGCTGCCTCGGTGAGGCAGCTCTACTTCACCATCGCCCTTGGCCTGTGCCTTTTCTCCCCCAAGGACTTCATCCACAGCCGGCCGAGCGCTAGAACATTCTCCTCCGGACACAGCCGCGGGTGGCGGACCGGGAAAGGGCTAGACATTTTTAACCTCCAGCCCAATTGTGATGTAAATGCTGTGTGACCCTTGGCCAACATGGGCAGCGGCCCGCCTGCCCTCGCCGCCATCACCAAGCCCCGCGCCGGCCGAGTCAGCACTCGGTGCGCCAGGCGCGGGTGAGGGCGGAGCTGGGGGCAGCGCCCG